CCCCTGAGTCCCTCACATTTAATCCATGGAAGCCTACTGAGCCCTCTGATACCTTTAGCAGAAGAGGATCCAGTCGACCCTTCGCATGTGACTAGGAGTGATTTAGTGGAAAGTTATAAACATCTTTCGAGGGTAGTCGAGAAGTGGAATGAGGTGTGGACTCTAGAGTACCTCACAGCTCTAAGGGAATACCACTACGGAGCTTCGAGCCCCTATAACAAAGTCCAATTCAAACCAGGAGATCTAGTGTTGATCGACAGTGATGGCCCCAGGTCAGAGTGGCCTATAGGCAAGATTGTCTCTGTTCACCCAGATCACCAAGGTGTCCTGAGAGTAGTACAGGTTTTGTGCCAAGGCACTACTACCCTAAAAACATTAGAGAAGTTGGTACCTCTGGAATTAGCTGAACAAGAGTGTTCTACAGAACCGACTTTACCTACAGTTTCCGAGGACAACAATTCTGATCCACCGAGCACCCGACTACTTAGAGCCGCTGCTGAACAATGCAAACGGAAACTACAACAATATTATATCTCTGACTAAGAGCAAATAATTTACCATCCAATTTAAGGTAGTCATGATGATACCGTGCTGTGATGTCCAGTAACTAATCAGTTACAAGTCACAGTGACCCTGGACGTTTACCTCATTGTTGATTCTAAGTCTCCTTAACTTGAATGATTTAACCATTAATTTAATTTGTGTAGGCTACAGACTACACCATTATTATATCTAGAGAATATCTCCGAGTTTACAAGACTTTAAGACTTATGTACTAGCTCTATCTATAAATCCAACAACTTTTGTGTCTCACCTTGTATGTATGTACTTTACCTGAATAAGTATTTGTATTTGTATAACCATTACACGTCATAGTGACATAAGTCACTGAGTACATTGTAGGCTTTAGTAGTTAGTAACTTTAGATGATTTAATAATTCAATGTTTCCGCATTTAACATACGTTCCCTAAGAAGACTTAGTCTTATCTGTCTTTGACAGATTCGGGACATTTGTTATGTGCGTACTAACATACAAACTTTAGAAAAACTTTGGAATGGGTACGTCAGCACTCAACACTGAACTGCGACCCGAGGATTCCCCCCTCCCCCTCCCCGGAGTTATGTTGGAAAGTTTCAACACTAATACATCCTTATTGTATCATAATACATCACCATTGTATACTAGGCATAGTGTATACTAATCCTACTAATTGTAGTATTAACATAAGTTAATATTTTCTTATCTGCACATCAAATTCTTCCCACATAAAGGGAAGTATTGTGTTAGATAATATCCAGCAGAGACATAATTATTGTCAACATGCCAGAGAATTGAATAATATTCTCGCCCTTTGTCAGTACAGTATTCTTTACAAGAATTAATACCTGATAATATAACTAGTGATCCAATAACAACGAGTTATCAACTAAAAGATCACTATATAACAGTTTATCTGTTATCTTAAACTAACATGGAGGAAACATAAATTCTCTCCATTTCTCGTTTAATATGAACACTGTTCACATTTATTATTATTCAATGAGAATTTAAACAATATATAACTCCCTATAATTGCGACCCTATTCTCATTAACTTATTAAGTAGAGTAATTACAAGGAAAAGAATTTTCCGTTTCTACTAAAATATGTTGCGCATGTGCGAGAGAGGGGTTAAGGGAGGGGGAGAGACACACGAAACATTCACGCGTGTGGACGACGCTATAAACAACGTGGCAGCCATAAGTCCAGGGAGAGGTGAAGCTTTCGTCAACTACACGATCTGCCCTTGCTATTAATCGGCCCTGGAGTGTGCAATTACTCCATTAGCGATCCAAGCATTGCATCGGTGGACCACCAGCAGGTTAAGTGGTCTAGTTTTCGTATTAGAGCTCTAATTATGTAAACTTTACCCTTAGTCCATCGTTACGTCGTGATCCCTCCCCAAACAACAAGTTCAGTGGCACCTCAATTAACGAGTTTAATCTGTTCTGGCACCAAGCTCATTATGTGGAAAACTCATCTTACGAAACAAATTTCCCCATTTAAAATAATGGAAATAAATTTAATTCGTTCCACTCCCAAAAACATCCATACTTGTATGACATTTTATATTGTAAATATAATACTGCACATGTAATTATAAATGTTTTGTTGTACTGTTTTCATGTTTACTTCACCTTATGAAGAGTCGTTGCTGGCTTGAGGGAGACGATGGGGGAGGTGGGAAGGAGGAGAGGGGTTATGGTGTGGAAGGAGAATCCACCTCTGAGTCAGGCGGGCTCTCTCTTGGGAATTTCACCCCACTGGGACTGGGTCGTGGTTCACTATCACTGGCTCTTCTTTTCTCTACTTTTGCAAAGAACGTATCTATTGACAATTGCTTTTGTCTTTGTTTTAGGATGTTCCTAAAACACGATAGCAAATTGTCATTAAACATGTTCACACACCGGGTTGTCACTGCTTTATCAGGGTGATGCTTTTTCAAGAATGCGATCACCATTTCAAACAATCCCAACACTTTCCTGATCTCGCTGGAAAAGGCAGCATCCTCCCTTACCTCCTCATCCCCTTACTAATGGTGCAAATTGTTGATGAGGCCCTGCCATACTCCCTTGTGAGATCACACAGACACCATGCTCATGCTTTGCTATAATTTCCTTCTTCAAATCCACAGTAATTGTGTCTTTCTTCCTCTTGACAACACTATCTTTAGCAAGCAGCTTCTTTGGCGACATCGTACGTTACAAACTGTAGTCACAAAACCACAAAAAAAACATAAAAAAGTGCAAATAAATGCAGAGGGATCCTAGTCGTGTGCGATACAACAACACTGGCATCGGAGGCGTCTGAGAATTTGCGAGAACCCGCGAGACACTAGGAAGCACTATGTGATTTTGTTCGTTAATAGAGGTGAAGCTTGTCAATAGATTCAAATGTGTTGCGAGTGGCTTGCTCGTTACTCGAAATGCTCATAGAGCCGCTCATTAATCGAGGTGCCACTGTACGCCCCCAGGGAATTTAATTTGTCCCTTCCATTGAATTGTAATGATATAATTTAACTTGTGTAGACAATTTTTACACCACATTGGGTTTCCAGCGTGTGTTGAAGCAGCCGGGAGTGAGACAATTTCCCACGCTACGCTATTGGGTCACGTGTTCCAGCAAGTTCTAGATGACGCCATCTCAACACCACGCTTCCGTTCACTGTCACAGCTAAGCAGCTGAGATTATTTTAATTTAGTTATTACTTACTTAGGAATAGTTGAAACCTAATAATATTTTGAAACTATATTTAATTTATGTGAGCTAGGAAGTCAAGCATAATTTCTATAGCCTCATGAACTTCAGATAGGAACAATTTTCTTATCTAACCACTAATTTAATATGTTCTTGTTACTAACCAAATTATCAAATGTTTATACCATTTAGATATCTTAGTAAGATTTGTTAATTTTATTTGAGGAAGAACCAGCCTTGAGGAAGAACCAGCCTCGATGAAGAATACTAGGAATAACTCAACTTCTAGTATTAACCCCCAATTGTGAAGTTTGGGAAAGTTCAACTCTTGAATAGTAATATATTTTACAGTCCATTAATATTCAATAAATAATTCTTAATGATTACATTATCCACAGGCACTGGTATTTCAGTCCTTTTCTATTGCTTATTTATCTGTTTCCCTTTTCAGTAAAAATAATGTGGTCCTTTGAGTAATTTGAATCAATCAATTAAATATCAATACAGTATATTGAGAGCTAGCTTTCCTTCACGACGACGGTCCTGAAACAGCCGAGAGAGAAAGGACAAAATAACCTTAACAGAAAGCAAGGTATAATGACGAAGGGACAAAAAAAACAGAAGGACCACCAGGAAACTTCATACTGCCGTTGAGACGAAGTCCACAGGTAGGACACCATCAAAGAAGCCACTCGATCACCATGCAGATGATGATAAACCCGAGTCAAAAAAAAACAAAAAAAAACACGAAGACTCGAGGAGAAGAGCGAACCAGTCTCATAACGGACCAGACCGATCTGTTGAAAGAGGCAGAGCCGCGGAAAAACCTCCGGGTTCGGACACCGAGCAAGCAGCACCTGAAACCAAGGCAGGGCCGGCCACCATGGGACCAAAAGAACTACTCTCCCTTGGAAGGTCTCTAAGCAAGCTAGGGCCTGAAGCAATAGCTGAACTGGGGGAAAGAGTTACAGGAACCCCGCACCTCAACCAGTCCTGCCAGAAGGCGTTGATCTTGACGGCCTCACAATCGGGGAAGGGTGCCACATATACCGGAAGACACCGACTACGCCAACGTGAAGAGGTCCACTTCCGGACGCCCGAATGTCTGGCAGAGCCAACTGAACGAGTCAGCATCAACCATCCATTGTGTGGACAGAGAAATGAACTGGGACAGGCCGTCCGCCAAGATGTTGGAACCCCCCTCCCCACCCCCGGACATGAACCGTGAGGAGAGCCAAACTCCGAGAATTCAGCAGACAAGTCACCTGCAGCGCCCAGCCCCAAAGAGCCAAGGACCTCATCAAACCCCCTCGGTTCAGGCAATGAACCATTGAGGAGCAGTCCGAATGGAGCCGGATTGTCGATTCGGTTCCAATCTAATAGTCTAATACACACACATCAGCCCGGTATAGATCTGGGGAGCCGGGGGGGGGGGGGGGGCTCTCCACATAAAATATATTTGCAAGAGGCCCTGCCACACTGCTCGGCTGGAACACACCACTGCTAGTGTGGTGTGTTCACTCTCTAAGCGAGTTAATATTGCCAGAGTTCCAACTCATACCATTACGGCCAAATTATGTCAAATACAAAATTTTGTTTAGTTCCTATTATCATATCATTTTAACAATATAAGATGAAACAAATTTTGAGGAATAATTTTTTCTGTACACCAGGGGCTTCTCATATTTTATAGTGGCACAGTACAGTGGTTAGAGCCTATAAAGCATGTGGAACCAAACAAAATTATATTTTAAGAGCTTACCCAAGCGTCCCTGCTCATGAATGGAGCGAATAACCCCAAGCGCCGTGCCGTAGCCAGCAGTGGCCAGCGAGCCAGTGTTGCAGTGGGTGAGAAGCTGTACATTCTTGTCTCCAGCAGCCTTTAATATGGAGTCGGCACCAAACCAACCAATCTTTTTGTTGGTGTTTACATCATCTTCTAACATCTTCTGGCACCAATTAGTTACCCTGAAAAATACAAATAATGCTTTAATAAAATTGAAGAAATTTCTGTGGAGAGCCCCTTTGGCTACCCAGAGCTATACTGGACTGATGTGCATATATTAGACCGTGGCCTCAGTCAATCAATGGAGTTCTAGGTCTACCGGGGACCAGTGCCAAAACCTGGCCCCCTCAGATGAGGCACGAGGAGCAATGGCCTATAGACACCCGTGTGTAATTAGAAGTAGTCTATGTCTGGCACCAGGTCAGGCACCCAGAAAGGTAGGAATTCCAATACAAACTACAGCTGGTTAATTAAAAAACTGCAAACCGAAGCCGAACTAGCGAACAGAACTTCTAAATCAAAAACAAGCAAACAAGCAAGATGCCACTGGCTAGCCAACCCCAGTTCACTAGGCTATTGTGCTGGTGGCAGTTGATCAACTCTGGCTCCATCCTTTGAGCAGTGCTGCATAGTAGTGGTGATGGTGGTGTGCGAGCCAGAAGTAACACAAGAGTACTGGCGGCTGCATGGACCTAGGGCCAGCATTTCCTAGGTGCCCTGTAAGTCCCGCCCTTGCGGTTTAGGGTTACCTTCCCTTGAACCATTTGGGAGACTACCTCTGCGTGGTTCTGCTGCTGCTTAGTGATTGCCGCCTTTTGGATTCAGCTCAGGAGGTTCTTACTCCTGTTTGACCTTGGGTAGGAGGTAGTATTGTCGCTGGCTGGGGTGCAAGGTACTGTGGAGCTTCTGATATACGCATAGTGACAGGTTCTGTACCCATGGGGATGTTGTGCTTTTGTGGGGTTTCTCTTTTGTTTTGTTTTGCCTGGTGGGGGTCTGCCTGGTGTGGCTGTAGAACGACGTGTATGATTTTGGTGGCCCTCCGCTTGGTCTCCGTGCTTGCAGACGTCGCAGGGGTTCAACTTTTAGTTTGTTTGCTTGGTAGCTCTGGGTTAACCAGTTAACAGTATCTTGCCTGAGCTTCCCTTAGCAGCTAAGTCAGCCTAAGGGCCCCTGGAAACCCCATTGGGGCTCATTAGTCCGATGGAGGAGACCGAGTCCCCACCTCGCTTAGTGGGAGTCTGAAGGTTACTCTGTCCCCCTAATCTCAGGGTGACATTCACCGTCTTTGCCTCCACCAGCTGTCTGTTGAGTCAATAACACCTTTGACCTGGAGTCCTGCGAGTGGTGTTCCTTGCTTGTGCTCCAATTCATCCAGTCCACTGATGTTGATATTTGGGTGCAGGCAGCTTCAGCGTTGCATGCACAGTTCATGTTGCTGCAACGAGCTCGGATGGTTGCCTCTCCAGAAGCCCCGCAGTTGCCCCGCTTTGATTATAGAGACCCGGACTTGGGAGGTGTTAGTCTCCTCGACTTTGGTTTCGTCCGCGCCTCCTTGTCCTTCCCCTACTGTGGTCCCTCCTATTCCCCTCTTTGCCTCCCTGGTCCCGGATCCCAAATGTCTGAGTGTTTCAGAGTCGGGGCATGGCTTTCTTGGTGGTGAGACTCAGGCGGTTTCAGGGACTGCCCCCTTTCGGTTTGGCGGCAAAGGCATTCGAGCCTGTTCTTCCTGCCGGGGCTTTTGGGTCGGGCCAACGGGCCCCCGTCATCCCTGCTTTTCCAGTGGATTCTGCTTTTTCTCCAGAGGCAGAGGGTTTGAAGGATAACTCACCCCTGGATCCAAACATGGAGGATCCTGGGGCTGGGGAGGAGTTGACTTGTGGGCTTGGCCCCGTTTGTCCTTGCTTGGGTGTTGGTACCCTTGTCACAAGGCTTGTTGATACAGGGGGAGGGGGTTTTACTACCCCCCCCCCCCGTATGGGTTTGATATGAGCTCGACTCCTCCCCCCCGGGTTCAGTTCCGGGTTCCCTTGGGTTCCTCAGTTAACTCCTTTTAAGGTTTTCGGCCTCCTGCAACCCGTCGAGGGAGGTGCGGGATGCCCTTGCGGCTTACCTCCTGCGAGACCCGGATTACGCCTCGATAATGAATGAGTTTGGCTCCTCTTTCATTAATTACTGGGTGCGTTACAAAATGCCGGAGTCTTCCTGGCTGGCAGACTGTCCTTTCTTTACGTTGGGGGCGTGGCATGCATTCTGTTGGACCCGCACGCTTGAGTGGTGGGAGTTGACTATGGTCGTTCAGGTTTTCCTTGGGGGCGAGTTTGAGCACCTCAATGCGTGCTTGTTCAACCCTGTGCTTCCTCATGATATCGGTCAGGTGCAGCTTCACGTGCAGATTCCCTCCTTTTCGGCGTCCCTGGAGGCCAAGGATTTGGGTGCCCGTGGGCATTTGGCTTCTTGCATTTGCTTTGCCTGAAACTAAACCTCGTAGAGGCAAGACGTCCAAAAGAGATCTGCCATCAGGATGATAAACTAATGATCATAAATGCATATAGTCCACCGCCAAACAACACATGGACAAAGGAGGAGCTAGATAGTAAACGAGAGGGTCTTATAACAATAATGAGGGAAATTATAGCAACAGCTGATAAAGACAGATCACAACTGTTGGTAGTCGGCAACTTCAACTTGAAATCCATAGACTGGGAGGCATATGTAGCAAGAGCAGAGGATTTTTGGACTTGTAGATTTATAAACCTCATCCTGGAAACATTCATGTTTCAACATGTTAAACAAGCTACGAGGAAGAGGGAAGGGGGATGTTCCCTCTGTGCTGGATTTGATATTTACCAGGAAAGACGAAGAGATATTTGACATAATAACAGTAACGCCACAGGCCTATTAACATACGTCAGAAGTGATTTACCGCACATTCTTGTGAGCACGTCACACAATGTACACACACAGTACCATCACTTTCATGTACAAACTACAGCAGGCCACTTCTCATTCCTCAACGTATATGCCAGAAGCCAGAAACTCAATGTAACATTGTTCCCAGATCTAGACAATCATGGAACAATATACATGGGAGATTTTAATGCTAGACATATTACGCTGGGAGACATTACTAACAACGATAATGGATGCAAATTTATCAAATATGTTTATGACAACAGATTAACCGTGTATACTACGGATACCTAAACTCATTTATTGGGAGGCAGACTTGATTATGTAATGGGTAGAAACCTTGTGCAAGATAGGATGGAATGTTCGTTGGTAAATCACTTAGTTAGTGATCACTATGCAGTTTCTGCTTCCTATGAGATAGTGTGATGTACCTAATAGGCATCAGAGATGGAAAATGAATATTCCATATGGCTTGCATGACCACTTTATTAATTGTATTTCAAAATGGTATCAAGATTACACAGTAACGAATGTAGAAGCCTTCTCCAGAGATCTCGTTGATACGATTACTACCTACTATGACACATGGGTGTGCTGGGGAACAGGTCGTAAGCCTAGCAGAAGTGGGCAACACCTACCACCACCCAAGTGGGTCCTTGACCCCGTATTTGTTAAAGAACATGAACGAGTAAAGCAGCTTGGAGATACGTACAAACGAACCAAAGCACAAGGTGACTTGCATGCATTTCTAGTTGCAAATAGAGAGATGAGAGACATGAGCAACGTCATACGTAATAAACATTGGGAAGAGTTTCTACAAAGTATAAATGAGCAAACAACACTTGTTGAAGTTTGGGAAAAGATACGAAAAATCTCTAGAAGCAGCCCAACCAAACCGCTGCACCACAGCCCACTAGAACAAGCAAACATCCTCCTTGATCAATGGGCACTAACATCGAGCTACGACTCACTCCCAATTAACATACAGCACAAACTTGATGACACACGCCCCAACAGACAACGAACCATCAATCTTGCCTGTACAGCTATCGACGTGTCGGACCTTAATGATGTAACTGAATGGGAATTAAATCATGCACTAAAGATGGGAAAATCAACTGCTCCTGGAGAGGATGGTATTACTTACAGTCTACTGAGATTAGTCTCACACGTACCAGGTAATCCATTATTAGTGTTGTACAGAATGAGTTTACGTGAAGGAGTATTACCTGATGCTTGGACAAAGAGTGTCATTGTTCCCATCCCCAAACCACACTCGGATAATTATAGACCCATATCTCTAACATCGTGTGTTTGCAAAGTGCTTGAACGTATTGTTCTTAACCGGCTCATGTATCGTATACAGGGGCACCTGTCACCCCAACTGTTTGGATTTATGCCTGGGCTCAGTACACAACACTGTTTTGCTGAGTACTTCGCACATATTGAAGCTTCCCCTCAAACAGTCTTCATCGACCTAGCAGCAGCTTTTGATACAGCAAACAGGGAAATCATACTAGAACAGCTTGCCGAGCTGGGAATACAAGGAAAATTACTGAAATGGATAAAGGGCTATTTGTCTAATCGAACAGCATATGTTTTGTTTAATGGTGTTAAAAGCACAGAGAGCAAACACTTTGAACTGGGAACTCCACAAGGAGGGGTCCTCAGCCCCTTGTTGTTCAACGTTCTGATGCATAAACTTATTAAAGATCTTCCAACTAATAATGAAGACACTGTCATTTGTTATGCTGATGATATATGTTTACAGGCTGCCTCCGAGCCTAGAATGCAAGTTCTGCTCGACGCTTTTGCTACTAGAGCTGAGGAATGTGGCCTCCTTATCTCTGTACAGAAAACTCGTGCCCTCATTCCATGTGGTATTCCACCACCCAATTATCATATAGATGGGCGAGCACTTGAGAACTGCGAGTCTTACAGATACCTTGGTGTCCCCATTAACGACCCTGGGTACCTTTCTTCTCTCAAGAGGAGACTTTGGGAGAGATTAAAGCCCTTGCGGGTCCTTGTTGGTGTCAATCATGGACTTAACGTGAGACTTGCTAAAATGTTTTATGTATCATTTATACGCTCTGTGATTGACTACAATGCTCTACATCTCACACTGTATACTGACAAAGAGCTGAAATCTCTTGAAACCTTGCAAAATGAAGCTATGCGTCTCATCCTTGGGGCTCCAAAGTCCACGAGAATAGTTAATATGAGAGCAGAGTTAAAATTACCTACCATAAGTGAGAGAATTTTGTCTATTAGCAGTTTTCGGCGTGAAGGCATTGAGTAGATCGAGACAACATATGAAGTTTCAAGCTAAACTTTCTAATATGCTGCACTCACCTGAGGTCTATAGAAGAAGAACGAAATCTGATTATGTATATTGGTTCTACAAGGTGGCCAACTCCATCAAAATATTAAATATGTACCCAACTCAACTAATGATTAATCAGCCAACTACTCCATGGGATAACTGGGATCTATCAGTTGATTTTGTAAATGCGCCCAAGAAAGATAGTGTGCACACTACATTATTAAAACAGTTAACACTGAAAAGCATCACTGAAAGTACTCAGAGTATGGGTAACGATGTTTATCAGTGCTATACCGATGGCTCTGTAGAAGAAGGTGGACGATGTACCGGATGTGCATGTAACATATTTGAACAATCTTCTCTCGTACATACAGCAAAGAAGCGCGTCAATGACTGGGCAAGTACAACTCAAACCGAACTTGCAGGCATATACCTTGCCACTGAATTTTTAAAAGACAAAGGCAGTGGACTTATATACTGTGACTCGCAGAGTGCACTCCTGGCACTGAATGCACATAGTAGTGACACCCAGAAAATAGTCAGTGATATTCGAATGAATGTTTTAGCTGCTAAAGAAAACAGATTTGAGATTAAATTCCTATGGATACCATCACATGTTGGCATCTCAAGGCATGACACTGTTGATATGCTTGCTAAGACAGCCTGCAGAAAACCAGTGGTAGAAATTGATATGGGTGTTTCATTAGCAGTGACAAAGAGAATACTTAAACAAATATCTAATGAAAATCTCACCGACCTAACAAATTCACAAAGACCTGAAAGTTGTAGCATTAAATATTATGATAGATATCGTGAGGAGACATTCACATATGGGACTAATAGAACAAGAACCCGGCAATGTGATGTTATAGTGGCCAGAATACGCCTGGGATATAGACGTATCTGGCAGCTTTCTCAAAACCCAAATGTCGAGTACACAATGTGTCAACTTTGTGAAAGAGAAAACATGCACTCTCTTGAACATTATATTGTAGAATGTCCCATACTGACTGACTTTCGCCCTCCTGGGCTAAGGTATGCTGAACTCTGTAATTACTATATGAGTACTGGAACACTTGATGATATATTGGACTTGTATCCAAGATTGACCATGTAATATATCATTTATTCAATGTTATATTCAATATATCATTTATTCAAGTTTTGTGAAATATATGATAAAGGCACAACAAAATTTATACCAAAGTAGAGATGCAAAACTAGGAAACAGGATTGGTTCAACAGAAATTGCAAGAGGGCCAGAGACCAAAAGACACAAAAATGGAATCAATATAGGAAGAGGCCAAACCCCCAAACATGCCAGCGATACAAAGATGTGAGAAACAACTCACAGCCGTGAGGAGAGGCAGAAAAAAATTTGAAAAAGTGATAGCATACAAATGTAAAACAGAACCAGGCCTATTTTACAAATTCATAAACAACAAATTGCAGGTAAAGGATAATATTCAGAGGTTGAAAAAGGGAAACAGATTCACAGAAAATGAAAAGGAAATATGTGAAACATTAAACGAAAAGTTCCAGAGTGTGTTTGTACAAAATGAAATCTTCAGAGAACCAGACACAATGAGAATTCCAGAGAACAACATAGAGGTGTCTAGAGAGGAAGTGGAAAATATGCTAAAGGAGCTAAGTAAGAACAAAGCAGTTGGTCCAGATGGAGTTTCACCATGGGTTCTGAGAGACTGTGCATCTGAGCTCAGCATTCCACTTCACCTGATTTTTCAGGCATTTCTGTTTACAGGAGTCGTAACAAGACGCGTGGAAAAAGGCTACCATAGTTCCAATATACAAAAGTGGTGGCAGGGAAGACCCCCCTTAATTATAGACCTGTATCGTTGACACGTGTAATAGTCAAAATATTACAAGTTATATGACAGTAAGCTGGGAAGACGGGACACCACGAGCGTAGCTCTCCTCCTGTATCTACACTTTGGTAATTTACTTCTTTTCCCTGCTGAAGATGCTCAACCACTTGGGGTGGTCGGTAGAGCGATGGTCTCGCTTCATGAAGGTCGGCGTTCAATCCCCGACCGTCCAAGTGGTTGAGCACTATTCCTTACCCCCCCGTCACATCCCAAATCCATATCCTGACCCCTTCCCAGTGCTATATAGGCGTAATGGCTTGGCACTCTCCCCTGATAATTCCCTTCCCTTCCTCCAGCACCTTAATTTAATTAAAACTTACAAGATGTGTCAAATTTGAAGTACTATATTCATTGTTGAGAACTTTAACTGAATTTTTCTGTATGAACAGATTTTTCAACTTTGAGCCACCTTTAAAAATATCAGTTTCTGCCCAGTTCTCACCATTTTTATATATTATGTGCAAAGCTCTCAGTTCTAAGTTGTCCTAAGGGTCGTTTAGTCAAAGCCATAACATTTGGAGTTATAAATTTTGGGCATCTAAATTTTCCACATACAGTATTTGGATGGCAACATTGAAAAAATGTTTTACAGTAAACTATACTCTCAAAGAATTATTTCCTTAGGAACATCAACGTTATATGCCATTCTGAGACAATAGTTAATAAAATAACAATTGGTGACATTTGAATATTTTTAAGCTAATTTGAAATTGTGAATTTTTTTTCTATTTTTTTTTTTAACTTTTTTCTGTTCATGGTATGATATTGATCCATCAGGAAAAGTTGGAGCATTTATCATGAAGATATTATTCACAAAAAATTGTGTGTGTTTGAGGAAGTTTCGGTACACAAGCACCGGGCCCCTTAACACCAGACAGCATTTTCACGTATTCTTTAAAATGACATGCATTTTTATTAGAATTAAACTGAAATTAAAACCATTAAATGCCTAATACTGCAGAAATAGTTTGATATGGTACTCACAGTTCGATCATATCTGCAACAGTAATACTATCTTCACATAATTTTTTGCTGATAGCTGTCAGTTCATCAGCAGCTTTCTTCATGTTAACTGCAGTGGGTCGTGCTGTTACTAGATACTCCAGCTTTTCAGATATGGCTTTAAACACTTCCTCTTTATCAGTGAATGATGAATTGATTAATTCAGTAGCAAGACTCAGGCAACCTACGATTGCAATTGCAGGAGCTCCTCGGACCTGTGAAAGAAACCAGAGTGAAACTAGAATAGTCAATACTAAATACCTATAAATATTACATACTGGAATATGCATCAATCCCACAGCTCACAAGCTGCATTGTGCATGTTGTGCATGCTTGACAAGTTTATATCACAAATTACTAACAAATGAGGTACAGTACACATGGTTCCTGTCCTCCCTGCATTGCTAACATTTGAGGTACAGTACAAATAGTTCCTGTCCTCCCTTCATTGCTAACATTTGAGGTACAGTACAAATAGTTCCTGTCCTCCCTGCATTGCTAACATTTGAGGTACAGTACAAATAGTTCCTGTCCTCCCTGCATTGCTAACATTTGAGGTACAGTACAAATAGTTCCTGTCCTCCCTGCATTGCTAACATTTGAGGTACAGTACAAATAGTTCCTGTCCTCCCTTCATTGCTAACATTTGAGGTACAGTACAAATAGTTCCTGTCCTCCCTGCATTGCTAACATTTGAGGTACAGTACACATGGTTCCTGTCCTCCCTGCATTGCTAACATTTGTTAGCAGCCCCCCATGGCACAGGGGTAAGACACCCGCGCTTCACGGATAATTTGGCCCGAGTTCATATTCTGGCTGGGGAGGATTGACTAGGCGCCACTCTTTAACTGTACACCTCTGTTCACCCAGCAGTGAATGGGGTACCTGGTTGTTAAATGATTTGGCAGGTTGTATTCCAGGGATGTGACGATGTCAACGTCAACGCCATTTGTTGAGTGTACCCAACCCCATTTTCTGTTCCTTGATGGAAGGCTGTGATCTTACCGACACCTGTATAGTTTCCTCCTTACTATAAAATTTGTATTCCTCAGAAGTAATGTGTGGGGTACCTTGGTCGACAAGTCAGTACACCTGGAGTGACCAGCAAGGTCACTTGCAGTGGTCACAGTCTTGCAGTCCTGAATGCAAGATTTGTTTCAGTGGGAACAAGTAGTACCTAGTCAGGGGAAACAGTGAAATCTCTGTGGATCGTTATTATCTAATCCCGAAGTTGATCGGATAATAAATGAATTTTGTACAAATATTTTTTTATCGGACGCCAGCACAGTCCGACGCTCGGACTCGAGAAAAAATCGGACGCCAGGGGTGTCTGAAGAGTGTGATATTGTTAATTATATTTCAATGCTTACCTGGTTGATGGGGTTCTGGGAGTTCTTCTACTCTCCAAGCCCGGCCCGGGGTCAGACTTGACTTGTGAGAGTTTGGTCCACCAGGCTGTTGCTTGGAGCGGCCCGCAGGCCCACATACCCACTACAGCCCGGTTGGTCTGGCACTCCTTGAAGGAAACAATCTAGTTTCCTCTTGAAGATGTCCACAGTTGTTCCTGCAATATTTCTGATGCTCGCTGGTAGGACGTTGAACAACCGTGAACCTCTGATGTTCATACAGTGTTCTCTGATTGTGCCTATGGCACCTCTGCTCTTCACTGGTTCTATTCTGCATTTTCTTCCATGTCGTTCACTCCAGTATGTTGTTATTTTACTGTGTAGATTTGGTACTTGGCCCTCCAGTATTTTCCATGTGTATATTATTTGGTATCTCTCTCGTCTCCTTTCTAGTGAGTACATTTGAAGAGCTTTGAGACGATCCCAATAATTTAGGTGCTTTATCTCGTCTATGCGCGCCGTATATGTTCTCTGTATTCCATACTATAACTTATTTTGAATGTATGTACTTTTACCTTAATAAACATTATCTTATTTGTCTTATCTATTCAAAAGTAAAACCAAAAAGTACCTAAATTCCTCCTCAAAGTTTCCTACCTTATGCTTTAAACTCGCACTGTATCTTGTATTACCCACTTCCCCAATATTATTACTTAAGACATATTCTTACCAGTGTAATCACCTCTGTCGACTTATATTGTAGTTATTGGTTGATATAAAACCTTGCTACAATGTACCTTTTTATCTTACCTGATATGTTAGAGTAAGGACCTGCCCGAAACGCTAGGCATGTTAGTGGCTTTGCATGATTGTAAAAATACCAGGCTTATATAATCTCACCAACCCATTGTACTTTCTTGCAAATAAATTATTATTATTATTTATCTTTATCTTTTATTATTTATCAGAGCTTTAATATACCAATGTGCATTAATATATTTACTAATCGCTCTCATCTTATTTTTTTCTTGCAATGTATCTGTTATTTTATTAATTCTGCTAGAATTTACCTACTTAATATTATCTGTTAGATTAAAGACCTGCCCGAAACGCTGCGCGTACTAGTGGCTTTACAAGATTGTAAATACTATGCTATTTATTCTCACAAACCCAATGTACCTTCTTGTATATATATAAATAAATAAATAAATAATCAGCGCTGAATGTAATGAAACACCATTTTCTGGGCGAGTCCCGGAGGCTCCCCAGAGCTTTCCAAGGCCGATATGCTAATGTCAGACTTTGGCATCAGTCATGGGTATGAAGTTCTTAGGCCTACCAGGGACCACGGCCAGAACCGGGCCCCCTCAGAGAGGCAAGGGGAGCAATGGCCTAAACCCCCGTGTGGTTGGAAGCATTCTATGTTTGCCATCGACCGGAATAGGCACCCAGAAAGGTAAGCGCCTCAAAACAAACCCCTATTCTGGTTAAAATTGCTACTAAAAGCCGAACTAGTGGATAGAACTCCCCAACAGAAAAGAAGCAAACTAGTGTGACGTCACACGTTGCCGCGCCGCTGTCTGCGCAGCTTCCCCCTTCCCCCTCCCGGGGGAAGGGGGAGCCCCAGACCCTCCACGCCGGCTAACCACACCTCAGTTCTTGAGGCTGGATGTCAAAAACGCAAAAAAAAAAGCCGACCAGAGGGAGGGAGGAATGCCGGAGAGCCTACGGGACTCGCCCAGAAAATGGCGTTTCATTACATTCAACGCTGGCTTTCTGGGGGGGAAACCCCGTCGGCTCCCCGGAGCTAACTATCCACAGACGGAAAAAGAGGGACTTACCAGGGAGGTGGTCGTCACTCACTCCTTAACTCAAAGCCGAGACAACTGGCTGCAACAGCCGACCCAAAGCAACACAGGCCCGACGAGGCCCAGGGACATTCACCAGGTAACGAGCAGCCAGGACCCTGTTCGACCTCCAAAAACCCCGAGTCCGAATATCAGACCAAGACATATTCCCAAAGACAGCAGCAAGAGCCGCGAACTTACGGACGTCATGGGCACGGGGATAGACCGCAGGCTGGCTGGACTTGATAACTCTGCGGACAACCTGGGAGACCCGAACCCGCGAACAGGGAAGAAGGGAAACCGGATCAACCCAACGCGCGTCCCCAGACACAGAAGCCGTGGTGCACAAATAACGGCGAAGCGCCACAACCGGACACAAAACATGATGCACCCCCAGCCTGACCAACCAAGCATTAACCACCCACGGACCCCTCCGGAACGCAGCAGTCTCATTCTTTGCCAGAAAAGGAGACGGCTGCAAGCGAACAATATACAGTACAGTAATCTCCACGACCAAAAGTGCAGAAACCCGTGCGCCAGAGGAGAGCATGAAGCTTCCCTACCCGAACCCCAGAGGCTAATGCCAACAAGAAAAGAGCCTTGGAGAAACAGTCCCGGACCGAAGGGGCCACAACGAAATGAGGAGACGAAAGGTAAGCAAGCACTCGGTCCAAAGACCAGGACGGCTCGGGCAGCGCATGAGCAGGCTGGAGGTGAAACAAGGCACGAAACACCTTGTGAAACGGCACAGACGTAACATCGATACCAAAGGCAAGCTGCAGCATTTCTGCCAGCGCCGCACGATACAAGGCGACAGTGTTAGGCATAAGATGACGGTCCTGAAACAACCATGAGAGAAAGGACAAGACCACCCTAACAGACAATGAACTAACACGACGAAGACGCAAAAAGAAACAGAAGGACTACCAGGAAACTTCATACTGCCACCGAGAAGAAGCCCTCAGGTGGGACACCAACAAGGAGGCCACCTGATCACCATAGGGATGATAAACTTGAGTCAAAAAACCCATACGCGAAGACTCAAGGAGAAGATCGAACTAGCCACGTGACGCACCGGCCCAATCTGCTGAAAGAGGCGGAGCCGCGTGAAAACCCTCGGGTTCGGACACCGAGCAAGCAGCGCCTGAAACCAAGGCTGGGCCGGGCACCAAGGGGCCAGAAGGACAACTCTCCCCTGGTAAGTCTCCAAGCGAGTCAGGACCTGGAGCAACAGCCGAACCGGGGGAAAGAGGTACAGGAACCCCCACCTCAACCAGTCTAGCCGAAAGGCATCGACCCCGACGGGCTCGCGATCGGGGAAGGGCGCCGCATACACAGGAAGAGGTCCACCTCGGGGCGCCCGAACGTCTGTCAAAGCCAACGGAAGGACAAATCGTCGACCGTCCACTCCGTGGAGAGGGGAACGAAGCGAGACAGGGCGTCGGCCAAGACGTTGGACACTCCCTGTACATGAACCGCCAGGAGAGCCAAACCCCGAGAACTCAGCAGACGAGTCACCCGAAGCGACCAACCCCAAAGAGACAAGGACCGCATCGAACCCCCGCGGTTCAGGCAATGAACCACCGGAGAGCAGTCCGAATGGAGCCGAATCGTCGATCCGCGGGCCACCCGAATCCTCCAAAGAGCAAACCACACTGCCGCGAACTTGCACACCGTGCTGTGAGCTCGACGGACTCACCACGCCCCTGGCCGGCCTGATGAGCACTGGTCACAAAACCCCAGTCGAGAGACGACGTATCCATGTACACATCGAGCAAGGGCTTGGGTAGGCGCCAAGGCACTGAACCCCGAAAAACCCGAAGAGGAAGCCGGAGAGGCAGCAGCCGACGCAAGACCCCCGGGGTCGAACACTGCGATCGCGAGAGGCGGAAGGGGTGACCCCGAAGGAACCAGAACAGCCGACAAAGCCAAACCCGACCCGGTGGGTAGACCACCATCGCGAAGTTCAGGCTCCCGCACAGCCCCTCGAGCAACCGCCGGGTGACCCGAGGGCCCACCAGA